CTCAAAATCTTAACTTTTGCAATTATAATTTAAACAAGTTAAGCCCTCAAGATATGTTAAGCCTTCAATTTCTTTGTAACTTTTGCTGACAATGTCTACTCCGTATATTTACCGATCATTTATAAGTATGATTGTAACCCACGTATGCCGTAGTATGCCGTGGGGTGTAATTAAGTTTTGTTCTGTTCTGTTCTGTTATCATGCCACTATGGTACATAATGATTTGGTATTGTTCAAAAGTTTCACGAGTCCAAATAGAACTCTCATTTGAGAAACATCTCCAAGTACAATAATCTCTTGTGAAACGGTTGTTGTCTTTGTGGGATGAGCAGCTGCACTTCCGTCAATTTCACCACGGGTGACACCCGAAACGGGCTTCACATATTGTACTCATGATGAATATTGAACGTCTTCAGCACAACAAGCGAACGCCTCAACCACTTGGCTACTCCTATTTGTGTGCGGGCTACTTACACCACGAGTGAATTGATGACAATATCCCCTTGAAAGAAATTGTTCATTGAAAGCACCAAACTCTGTCAGTAGGCAGTTTCAAATAACGTCGCGGGTCATAAATATTCGATGACATTTATAGGCGCTACTATATCATGTACAAGATACCAGATGACAATAGCGTGCGAGTTCTGACGTGTTACCTACAAAAAACATGTGCGTACATGCGTGCGTGCATGCGTGCGTGCGTGTGTGTGTGTGTGTGTGAGAGAGAGAGAGTGTGTGTGTGTGTGTGTGTGTGTGTGTGTATGTGTGGGCTTGGAGATGACCCTTCATATGCATAAAAAAGCAACAAACCCATATTCATAAGAGGTGAGGTGAGGTGAAATTGCGTTTAACGTTGCTTCCAAGATGATTGCACTTATATAGCGACGTGTGTGTGTGTGTGTGTGTGTGTGTGTGTGTGTGTGTGTGTGTGTGTGTGTGTGTGTGTGTGTGTGTGTGTGTGTGTGTGTGTGAGCTTGTGCTAGTCCGGTCTGATGCCGATTTTATAGTGCTAGCCCACTGAGATACCATGCCGCAGTTTAACGTGTGTGTGTGAGTGATATAGCAGTCATATAGCCGGAATATTGTTGAGTGCGGCGTTAAACAACAAACCAACCAACCAACCATTCAAAACGTAGCTAACGAGCGCAAGCGTGGACAAGAAGCCACGTAGGGGAGGTAGGGTGAGGTGAAATGGTGTGAAGTGGGGTTTAACGTCGCGTCAAAGATTATTGCACTTATATAGCGACGTGCATGCACGTGTGTGTGTGGCTGCTTGTACTAGTCCGGACTGATGCCGATTTGTAGTGCTAGCTCACTGAGATACCATGCCGCAGTTTAACATGAATATCCCACTCAGACACAGTATACTGACTCCGAGCCGACCAGTCCTTGTTTTAGCCCCTTTATGCCGAGCGCCAGACAGGGTAACAACAAGTACCATCTTTTGACGTCTTTTGGTATGACGCGGTCGGGGAACGAACCCCGGACCTTCCGCTCCCAACCTGCTCACATACACACGCAAAGGCAAGTAATATTAACTTTCAGATTTGAAATTTCATGCCAATCCATTTGGTTTCCAATGTTTTCGGGTTGCCAGTCTTCATTGCAAACAAATATATTTAAAACGCAATAAAACTCATATCTTTGCACAATATTTCACCTGCAATCACTTAGAAACGTAATAATCGTAATTATTCAACACCAAAAAGAGCGTAGAAATGTGAAATACCATCACTCGTGAATGTATGAATGTTTTATCATATCTTCAGTTATCAATTGCAAAGAAATGCATCGATTCCGCACATCTGTTTTATCTGTTCAATGGTTTGGTTTCCTGTTAAGGGAAACATGATTGACAGCTGACTCATTCACGTTCTACGCCGATGAATTCAAGTGATTCTACGCTGAATTAACACGAACGTGTTTATTTGTTCGGGTGTGAGGCAAACCGCTATAGTGAAAATCGTTTCTCAGCAATGGATCTCGACGGGGTGATCACACTGGCGGTAATGGTCGCATCAAACATAAAACACAATGAACTAAAGCAGTTAGACACAATCACGGGCTTCGTTATCGATGATGTTAGTTGCGGAATATAAATAGGATTACATGTGGGATCAAATCTGAGTGAGTTTTATTTAACGCCGCTTTGAACAGCATTTCAGTTATATGACATCGCGTCAGCTTGTAGTGTGAGGTGAGGTGAAATGGGGTTTAACGTCGCGTCACTTATATATAGCGACGTGCATGTATGTCTGTCTGTTTGTGTGGCTGCTTGTACTAGTCCGGACTGATGCCGATTTATAGTGCTAGCTCACTGAGATACCATGCCGCAGTTTAACATGAATACCCCACTCAGACACAGTATACTGACTCCGAGCCGACCAGTCTTTGTTTTAGCCCCTTAATGCCGAGCGCCAGACAGGGTAACAACAAGTACCATTTTTTGTCGTCTTTTGGTATGACGCGGTCGGGGATCGATCCCCGGACCTTTGCGCTCTCCGGGCGGACGCTCTACCACTAGACCACGGAGGCGGTCGCTTGTAGTGTGAGAAAAGAAGAAGTGGTGCAGCTCTTATAATATGACATATATTACTCTGGTGAAACCCATGAGCATGCTGTCAAACCTAGAAACATAATCAGAGCGATTCTGGGATTCAAACCCTCGATCTCAGGGTTCTGGCACACCCAAGGGACGCAACTATGCACAACGAATTGACGACTGGGCAACGCGTGGCCACCAGAGAGGGAATTGATGAGTGGCCAGTTTACATACGTGGAAAGACGTGAAAAGAAACGGGTTGTATATATTTACCATCATGGGTAAGGTGTTCATACTCTAGGAATCATAGGGGCGGTCGGGTAGCCTAGTGGTTAAAGCGTTCGCTCGTCACGCCGAAGACCTGGGTTCGATTCCCGACATGGGTACAATGTGTGAAGCCCATTTCTGGTGTCCCCGCCGTGATATTGCTGGAATATTGCTAAAAGCGGCGTAAAACCAAACTCACTCACTCACTCTAGGAATCATAAGACCGCCTCCGTGGTCTAGTGGTAGAGCTCGGAGAGCGGAAGGTCCGGGGTTCGATCCCCGACCGCGTCATACCAAAAGACGTTAAAAGATGGTACTTGTTGTTACCCTGTCTGGCGCTCGGCATTGAGGGGCTAAAACAAGGACTGGTCGGCTCGGAGTCAGTATACTGTGTCTGAGTGGGCTATTCATGTTAAACTGCGGCATGGCGTCTCAGTGAGCTAGCACTATAAATCGGCATCAGTCCGGACTAGTACAAGCAGCCACACACACACGTACATGCACGTCGCTATATAAGTGCAATAATCTTTGACGCGACGTTTAACCCCATTTCACCTCGCCTCAAGGAATCATAAAGTGCAAACACAAGGGATTCGAACCGTCATCAGATCACGCAACTTAGGGGAAGAACTCTGTATCTAGGATACAAAACGATTTGGGTGCAAATAGGCCTTCTGGACCAAGCAGCCCAAAATGAAGTAGAGAGAAAACGATTTATTATGCTTGAGAATTTGGAATTTGCGATTTAAACACCCCATTGATGGATGACATCTAAGAAAAGACTTTTTTACATCGAACTGTGTGAAGTGATCGGTGAATGTGCTAGGGTCGTATTCTTGATGACTTAAAATCTCATGTATCCATGATTCGTCTGTGTCGTTCAGTCCATAAGCTCCACTTCGACAACGATATGGTGGTGCATGATTAAATGTATTTTCATGACGCTTCCTGGAAGTAAATGGATTCTTACGTGTCTTCCACGTGGAGTCTCCGTGTAGCGTGTGAGACACCAAGGGACGTAACTCGTGCTAGAATAGAATTTCTGTCTAATCCGAACTGTTCTCTAAACCGGACTTAAATGGCGATCCCACACAAGTTATATTTTGTTCATAAACCAGTATCCTACTACTACTACTACTACTACTACTATCACCACCTACTACTACTACTACAACTGCTGCTACTACTACTACTACTAATACTAGGCGACTATGCTTGTCGTAAAAGGCGACCAACGGGATCGGTGCTCAGGATGCCAATCACTGGATTGTCTGGTCTAGACTCGATTATTTACAGACCGACGTCATATAGCTGGATTATTGCTGAATGTGTCGTTAAACAACCAACCAACCAACCACCACCACCATAATAATAATGATGATGATGATGAAGATATAATAATAATAATAATAATAATAATAATAATAATAATAATAATAATGCTACTACTTCTACTGTTTCTATTACTACTAAGACGCGATAAGATATTAGACACCATTTGTGGTCGGAATATAAATTGTTCCTTATTCAAACCATATTTAATTTAATCCACTGTTTGCTGCATTTAACTTCAACATTGTTGTAAATGAATGTTAAATATTTACGCGACCAATCGCAAACCGACAACAATTAAATCAAATGACAACATTTGGCTGAAATAAAATACGATTCTCTCACAAGAATTAATATCAATTCATTAACCTGACATCGTCGCTCTGCCCTTTTGTGTACACAGAGCCTTAAATAAATAAACAGCTATGAAGCGATAGTTAATCCATCGCTGTTAATTTGACGCCCGTGTCGCGGGCACCGGTAAACTTCATCAGCCCGGCTCATGTCTAATGACGATTTTACTCTGTCCCAAGATCGTTATTGGCAAATACAGGATAATATTTGTCTACCCTCCCCGTATAGAGGCCTCCCATTCAGCCATCTCTGTTGGAAGCTAAGGACATATTTACGAGTGGTTTCGCCCATGGAAACTAGCCCGGGGGATTTAAGGCCGATTGTGCCCGTAGCATATGATTGAAATGAATTAGAGAGAGAGCGTTTGATAGTAAAACTTAGCGCAGAATCCTCCCTAGTAGAACGTATTTCGTGCTTCTCTCCGACACGTCACAAGTGGATTTCGTTTCGATCAATACGCCGAGGCAACTTCTATATAAACCCGTGCAGCGCTTTACAGCAGTGTTTGAGATCGGTGGCTCACGGCAATGGTCTGGGTAATGAGATATTTCAGCTGAGCTTTCAGCGGGTGAGGCACAGGTACTTAAAGTCGGGATCGAAATTTTCACGGAATACGGAATATTAGTGACCACTCAAGGATGGACATTACTCGCTTGTATCTGTTTCTCTGCTCTCTGCTGACCCATGCTATCACGGCGCAAGGTAGGAAAGTGTCACTTTTATAAACTTTGCGCACTCTTGTGAGACCGATGAAACTTTTCTTACACACCACTCAATGAAATCCCTCGTATCTGAAAACAGAGGTTTTCGGAAACAAAATGAAACCATACACTCCACTATACGTAAACGTTTACCTTCAAACAATGACAATATACTCCACAGAGCGGATCTAACACTGCGTCTTGGAAAAAGTTCGACCTCAGAAAACCATACACAGAATATATAGGATTATTTGTTCGCGTCACCATTCAAATTTTAGTATTACCCAGTGGACTGTCCAAAAATTATATGTGTCTACTTTTAATATGGATTGTTGAGGAAGTTAAGTTTGAAACCTTAACTCCCGGACAAAAGAATGTATACACCATGTTTGATGGTGGCTAAACAAGCGAACACGATATGGTCGTTCGATGGTGATGTATTTGAGAGTATCACAGGCGATGTCACATTCATCATATCAATGAGCATCTTAACGCAGGTCAGCCTTGTATTTGTTTGATCAAGTCCAGTATTGAAGCGTATACTTTCTTTTCCCCTGCAGTTAAACTTGAAATTAAACCAGCAGTTGTAGTGTGTAATTATTTTGGAACATGCACATATATAGCTCATGCTTCGCTTTGATGATGATGATGATGATGATGATGATGATGATGAAATGAGTAGTGGCTTCCAATTTCCAATGTATACATGAAATAGACTTGATTTATGATGGCGATGATGACGACGATGTCGACGACGACAACAACGACGATGATGATGACGATGGTGAAACTGACGATTTTACTGAACATTAAATGATTTGTGGCTTCCAATTTCCAAAGTATACATGAAACATGTCTTGATAAATGAAGCATATATATTTTACTGATCACCGAACCTGCGTGGTTTATGCTGTATCAGTGTACGAACTCCTTTTGATCCAGAGCGGGAATGTCAGCTTTGCCGTTCACTGTTCTTAGTAAGCACGAACCATAAGACTAATATCTAAGTGATTGTCACAGATGCGTTCTACTTCTACATATGAATAGCAGCATTGTCATCGACTGGGGATTAATTTGTATGTATTGTGTAGCTGAGTGATATATTTGAGTGGTAAGAATCATTCACTCACTGTCTGATCTGCTAACCCGTAGGCTGTAGGCCAAGCAACAGATCAGAAGCTCGTAAGAAACGTCATGTTTTAACTTTGCGTATGTGCCTATTCTCTTTGAAAACCGTATCACCTCTATGTTCTATTTCAGCTGACTCGGCACAAAGTTATTGTGATTAAAACTTAAGTAATTAGAAAACCTGAACAAAAGTTAATTAACGCTGCGCGGTGCTTCTGATTGAGGTTGGCATTCTCAGCGCTAAAACTTTAAAAGCCAGTTAGAACCAAATTAACCATAGAAGTAAGAGAACACTTTCACAGCAGATGACCTTTTGTGTGCTCGCAATTAGAAGGTAGATAATGCTGTAGGTGGCATGATAGATAAAGACTCAGGCTGGTTCAAGAATGCCAGGGCTGGTGGTTCAAGCAGGTATGTCGCCATCGGGCTTCTGAGGTTACATGATGGCATTAGTGGTTGTTGTTATAAATTCACATTTGCGCTGCAAGGATTGGCATGACGGTGTCATATTTAACTTGGAGATCGTCCTGGAGTGATATGAATAAGTCCAACTTGTGTGGCATTGATGTGTCCTCGAATATCCCTTCTCGCTGGTATGTGAATATATCATATCCTAGAATTACCCTTCTCGGTGATATGTGAATATATATAATATTCTCGAATTACCTTTCTCGGTTGTATGTGATTATAATATATCCAAGAATTACCCTTCTCGGTGGTATGTGAATATATATAATATTCTAGAATTACCCTTCTCGATGGTATGCGATTATAATATATCCGAGAATTACCCTTCTCGGTGGTATGTGAATATATATGATATTCTAGAATTACCCTCCTCGATGGTATGTGATTATAATATATCATAGGATTACCCTTCTCCATGGTATGTGAACATATATAATATTCTAGAATTACCCTTCTCGGTGTTATGTGATTATGATATATCCTAGAATTACCCTTCTCGGTGGTATGTGAATATATATAATATTCTATAATTACCCTTCTCGATGGTATGTGATTATAATATATCCAAGAATATCCCTTCTCGTTGGTATGTGAATATATATAATATTCTAGAATTACCCTTCTCGGTGGTATGTGATTATAATATGTCCTAGGATTACTCTTAAATGATTCTAACATATCATATAATTGATAATCTAGGTGGCAGCAGATCACCATCCAATCCAGAATTGGCCATATAGGCAGCGTGTCGATACACTATATCCTAGAATGACCCATGATGACCTTTCTAATAATGATAGCTTCTAGGTGGTATGTGATTATGAGATAAGCTATAATATGGCTTGTAGGTTATCGGGATACATTCTCGAGTTACCCATCTGGATGGAATGCGAGACATATATTATCAATATTGGTTTACGAGACCATGATATATCTTAGATATAGGTGTTCGGGAAAGGGCAAGCATGTCCTGCTCCACCGCTGTCACTAGTTCTCTCTTCAATTAATGGTAAATAATAGGCAATAAAACAAAACGTTTATTACACGCTGTGACGTCGTGAACTTCAGATGACGTTTAAAGCAAGAGCATCAATTATGCATGTATATTGTTAATTTACAATTTCAGCTGTTAGCGCCTGTGATTGATTCCTGTCAAACCAGTACCCTCACAAATGATTGTGACCAATAAACAGAACAGTCACCACCAACATATTTATATTTTATAATACAACTTGCATTACGCGAAACAGCTGATTGTTCTTCTAGACCATATCACTGAAACTAAACTGTCTTTACGATGGCTCACGTGACTCACACGTTATGTAACAGTAAGCACATTGACAATCTCAGTCCATGAATGAAGAATAAAGACAGGTAGACGGTATGCTATTGACGGAATTCATCTGATCAACTGCAGGAACGCAGCCATCAGGTCGATGGCTATAGTCTCTCCAACCTAGCCAGTTCTTTTGTGTGGCTTCATTGTGAATCTCCTTGTTTGAATTGATGTAGACAGAACGTACGAAGCCATCTTTATTGAAAAGCAAACATCGTGCCACATGCTGAACAATTAATTAATCAATAATGTAAGCATAGCAAATGAATAGAATAATGTTGCCACTACCGTTGGCTACTGGATGTCTTTACACCACGGTCATGTGTGACCAACAGCCTGCGCATTGTTTTGAACAGGGACGGTTTTGTCATGTGGGGGGTGGGACGGTTTTGTCATGTGAGGGGTGGGACGGTTTTGTCATGTGAGGGGTGGGACGGTTTTGTCATGTGAGGGGTGGGACGGTTTTGTCATGTGAGTGGTGGGACGGTTTTGTCATGTGGGGGCTGGGATGGTTTTGTCATGTGAGGGGTGGGACGGTTTTGTCATGTGGGGGGTGGGACGGTTTTGTCATGTGAGGGGTGGGACGGTTTTGTCATGTGGGGGGTGGGACGGTTTTGTCATGTGAGGGGTGGGACGGTTTTGTCATGTGGGGGGTGGGACGGTTTTGTCATGTGGGGGGTGGGACGGTTTTGTCATGTGAGGGGTGGGACGGTTTTGTCATGTGGGGGGTGGGACGGTTTTGTCATGTGGGGGGTGGGACGGTTTTGTCATGTGGGGGGTGGGACGGTTTTGTCATGTGGGGGGTGGGACGGTTTTGTCATGTGAGGGGTGGGACGGTTTTGTCATGTGGGGGGTGGGACGGTTTTGTCATGTGAGGGGTGGGACGGTTTTGTCATGTGAGGGGTGGGACAGTTTTGTCATGTGAGGGGTGGGACGGTTTTGTCATGTGAGGGGTGGGACTGTTTTGTCATGTTGGGGGTGGGACTGTTTTGTCATGTTGGGGGTGAGCTGCTGTTTGTCTCTGTGTTGTTTAGTGGTCCGATGCAACATCGTACATTTCCGGATATGGAACTTATTGAATATACTTTTCAAGTGTCTTGTGTGGCGTGGGTTATGATATAATCTGAAAACAAAACGACCCCCCATCAGTGTAACGGGGAGGGGTTTTCGAAATCAAACTCAGGTGTTATGCGCGATGTGTTGAAATAAAAGACAGTGTGGTTTTTCAGGGCGACATCAACGACCAGCGGTTCGCATGGTGTCAATGCGTGTTATCGCTACACCCCGCAATATTCAATCTGTATGACTGCGGGCTGTGAACAATAGAGTATGAACCAGAGGTTCGCATGATGTTAATGCGTGATATCGCCACAGTCCGCAATACTCCAACCATATGAATGTGGGCTGTGAACACTTGAGTATGGACCAGACAATCCAGTGATTGATACCACGAGGAATGATCCACACAGCCGGGGTACGATGACATACCATCAACCAAGTAACCGAGCTTGTCCACCCGATACAATAAGTTGCCGCTTACGACGTTCATAGGATGTTGGGTACTAATTCTTACCCACAACCACCATGGCTGATAACCATTATGTTATGTTATGATACGGTAAACATACATGTATACATATTGACGGACCCATGAAGACCCAGGGTAGAATAGGTCTTCAGCAAAAGGCGACTATGCTTGTCGTAAGAGGCGACTAACGGGATCGAGTGGTCAGACTCGCTGACTTGGTTCATGCATGTCATCATCCCAATTGCGTGGATCAATACTCATGATGTCAATCACTGGATTGTCTGGTCCAGACTCGATTATTTACAGACCGCCGTCCTATAGCTGGAATACTTTTGAATGCGGCGTTAAACAACAAACAAACAAACATATTAACGACATCCAGATGCATAATAAAGTACAGATATAGGACAATCATTGTGTGAGTGAGGTATACAGATGTCACGTGTTGTTGTTTATTGCACTCAGCAATATTGCAGCTATATTACGGCGGCCTGTACATAATAGGGTCTAGACCAGACAATCCAGTGATTGACATCATAAG